ATCAGTGCACTCGTATCTGTCAAGCTACCGGTACATAGTAAGTATTTCCAAAAAAGTTTCAGACTCCATAGATGGATCCGTGTGGTTTCGGATGCTGTGACCTAGATCCGTACCAATTGTTTTTGTCGCAATGATATGCGAGCAGTGAGTTAGATGACATTTTTTTCTTAGTTGACCTTGAATATAATTATCGACCTATGATCAGTTTCATCTACTTGGTCCAGACATGGAGCACTTACACATATATTCGTACCCTTCCTGTACGAGGACGACCTGTTCGTTGTGGAGTCGACTTTCAAGGATTTATAGGGAATCTGGGCCAGGTACTGGTATCTCGTTAAGATTTGACTTTTTTTTTTTACTTCCATAAGGATTCTCCGTAACTACGTGGATGGCGTAACGTCATCCTTTCACTGGTGCCTCCAAACTGGTTATGCGTTTCATGTATCAAGTGCGATAACCAGTTCAGCCGAATTCCACGTTGCAGCATCCGCGCGGTGTCTGTAACATTTTTACCTCTTTTTATACCCGAGTGCCAGGTTACTTTGGAGGGGGAAAAAATGCAACGGGCATAGGTCCCACTTTGTGTGTGCCACCCGTCCACGTGGTATCCAGGTCAAGTTGTAAGACCCAAGGTGCTACCGAAGACGCGTTCGTAACGGTGCTGCCTCCTCGTGACGCAAGCATAAATTTCATTTAATAGCCAATAACTCCGTAGAAGCATCGAGGCGATTGCCATTGAAATCCCCAGGAAGTGGACGGACCTGGTGATAACTCTGGGTAACTAGCTTATCATTTTTTTTTGGTCCAACATTCAGCATCTGCCGATCGGCTGTCTGGATACCGGTTACATAAATTTTGGTTACGAGTACTTTGAAAAACGAGTTTGACGATTCACTAGGAGATCCACGGGGAAGACCAAGACGCATCAGATCTCAAATATCTCCTACAGACAATTCTGATCCTGACGGATGAGTTCATCAGGTACCTTGAGCCTGGTCCGTCTTTCATACCCCTTAAGTAACCTGCCCTCGTTGACAGGTCCAGCCCACCCACGTGGCTAGGCACTGTTTTGTAAATCCAGGTAATCATCGATCAAAACCAACGAACCGTCCATACCCGATGGTACGAATGACGGGCGAAAGTTCATGACCTTTATTACGTCAAAGATAAGAATGACAGGCTTGACCATGACCCCCTATTCGTGCACCTGCACCCAGAACAGACAGTAGCCGCCATTGATGGGTCCCTCGGCAGACCGTTAGACGCCACTGGGTAATATAACTATATTCTGTTTATGGACTCCTAAATAATTCATGGTCCTCCTCTCTCTCTCTCTCAGACAAGAGCACAAGTAGCAGGTGCGCCACCTCAGCTCCAGCAGGTGCGAAAGCGTAATACAGCAAAATACAAAGAATCCGACGATGGGCAGCTTCCCTATTGTTTCGTAGCGTCGTTAACAGGAGGCGCCACTATCGCGCGTACTCATCTACCCGAAGTCTTCATCCTGGGTAGATCGAGACAGCCGCCACGTGGTCGGGTCAAGGCTCTCTCCATAGTAGCGACGAAGACATATACCTATATACCCACCGCAATGCCGTACCTCCTATATCTTCGAGATAAAGATAACCTCGTAACAACTTAACGTTGGACCGGTACCAGAAGATTTCTTCTTTCTAAAGATAAAATCATCGCATTCAGGTATCGCAAAGATCCGCGCGTTAACTGGCCATTGTTCGCAGGATGAATTTTTAATAATAATTCACTATAGATTCCATGCAGCTTCGCCAACGCACACATCCAATACTAAATATGGCGTCTAACCTCGTCATCCGTCATGTTATCCCTACCACTAGGGTAACCGGGCCCACGCGTCCGGACTATTCTGATCTCCGGGGCCGATCGGCACTGGTGTCTCTCCGTGGAGTGAGTCTGTTAGTCAGTCAGTCAGTCAGTAAGTCAGTAAGTGAAACGTCGACCGTAGGCCAGAGCGCTCGGGGAATCGTAACGTGAAAGTGAATTCGTCTTCCTGGACCTCTGGAAGGTCTGCGTCAGCTCTGTGACCCCACCACGTGCATCCTATTATTCTGTGACCCAGTAACCTCCGGGCACATCGGAGAGATTTTACAAGTTTCTCTTCCCCTTCGTTGACCCACCTGACAGATGGGTCCAGGAGTTTACCCGATCCACGTGAATTTTCTTTAACGGATCCCGCATACTCTATTTTTGACTGTCCGTCGAAAGATGCTGACACGTGGCTCCATTTACATGCTCGTTTTATTCGTGCTACCTGTTGTTCTGTGGCTTGGCAGAATCTTACGGAGAAAACGTTGTCTCCGTGTGATCTTCGGGGTGGCGGGATTGACTAGGTACGATTGTACACGTATGTCACGTATGTCATGTACGTTTTAAATTACGCAAAGAATTTTCTTTGTTCTTAATTTTTTTTTTTCTTTTTTCGTACTTTCGTATCGCATCGAGGAAAACGATACGATTTTGCACGTATGATTTTATTGCTTTTTTTTTTATTACGAAATATTTTGTATACTTTTTTTTTTATTTGCTTACGTATTCCTGTCAAATGTCAACTTGGGATCCTCATTGACTGTTACTGCGCAATATGCGTTCGTACGACGTGACGTAAGTCGAAGACAATTTTTCGGTACGGTTTATCCTCAAGGCGGATTTTAAATTGCGCGACTTGGCACTACTTGATCCATGACATCAACGATTTTTACCCGCGGATCCGCCGCGTTTGTTGCTTCATCATTTTGTTCAGTTTTGGATTTGCCGATGACGTGGTTTATTATAATTGCGATACGAGTGAACTCAATACCTTGTTATTATATATATATATATATATATATATATGTTTTCATATCGTGAATTATTCCACAATGCGTTTAAAAGTCCGCCTTAAGGAATCCAGCGCGATAGTCAGCAATTTTAAATATCACTGTATATACAACGGCACAGTGATATTTTCGTCAGTCGACGATGAACTTGCTGCTTGACTTTTTTATCTTTTGGAAAGGTCACACCCGATGACTTGGCGGTCACCGATGAGCTCGTATTTATCCGCGGATCTTACGATTAATTATATTTTTACGAACGTTAAGGATCCTTTGATAAATCCTGGGAGTGGTGCGGTATCTTAGCAGCATCCCGGAAATGGAGCTAGAGAGATTTGGAGTATGATGATTATGACGATGATGGTGCATGTGGGTGAATTGAAGAAAGTGATCGCTGTGCCGATCTTTGATTATCGTGTGGGTATACGTGGACCTCTGTCACGGGGAATTCTAGAGAGTCCCGACGGATCCTTGTACGGGACCGGTTGGCACAGCCTCCGCATCTCCATAAAAGCGACAAGCGACTGCTATGCCTTTTGAATGACGTTTGTTCGATGACTTTGAGGATTTACTGATTAATCGAAGTATTTAATAAAAAAAAATTTTGTTCTCAATTCGTTACCGCACTTTTTGACTACCATTTTCGTTCATGACCAACATACGGAAATACGCGTCCGCGTAGAGAGGCCGTGGTCGTTTTAGCTAGCGTTTGTATTTTCCCGCCTTTATTGTTTTTCAAAAATCTGACAGCGATCCAAGATCTGCTTTACCTAATGGTTGCAATTTCGTTTGAAAGTATCCACGAAAATAGATGGGTTTACGCGTGGCCGTTGAGAAACGAGGAAGTGCACATTTTTTTTTAACTGTTTTCAACAAATTTTAATAATTTTCAATATTCATTGGGAAAGCATGAAAATTTAACGAAGATATATTCGATCTTTCCATATTAATTTTATCGCTCGTGTTATCGCTATGAAAAATGACGTTTTGCGTATCGCGGTAAATTTCCCCGTGGAGATAAAAAAAATAGTTACGCCATTCGTTTCCTGAATTCCAGCAGGATCCTTATCGAGTCACGAGATGATTCCTGCAGCATCCAATAGTCGGTTTCTCTACTCGGTCCATTCCGATGCCCGTTTCCAACAAATCATCTGACCGTTATCCAATTGCCTTGTTTCCCTCGAAACGCGGAAAACCATTAAATCCGATAGTGGATGGAGGAAAAAATTTGAAAAATTTTCTTTCAATTACACACATCGGTATACGAAATCTCAAACGTGTACAGGTTAAAAGAATAAATTAATTCTCTTTAAATTTAATCAATACTCGACTCGCTTTATCGAATCTTTATTTATCGATCAATGTATCCGTGAATCATCTTTACCATAAATAAATCTCTAGAATCTCATGTAAAATTTCTCGTCGACGCGAAGATCATTTTTCTCGCTCCACCCGAAGGCACATTCGTTGAGCTCTGCTGGACTCGAAGTTTTTTCAGCAGAACTTTGACGGCGTCGTCCACGCTGTTTCCACGTCTCGCTTTAACAAGGCGCGTTCGCAGCGCGACCGCAACGTCGCGAGAACAAAATCGTTCTACGCGCGTTGCAATTATTAACTGACAAATAGGAAATCCACTGTGCTACTACAGATAAGCCTTTGAACACGGTACGGGAAAGAGTTATTCCCACTGCGCGCAGGATGCTCGGGTACGCCGTGCGGCATCCGGAAACCGGAAGTGGTTTCCAATAGAACGGTAAACACGGGAAATCTCTACCGCTGCGCATGGCCACGACTTGGCGTGTCAGTTATTCGTTTGCGTTTGACATGAAAGCATTAAAAAAGATGCGTGATTGCTGGATTCCCGTTATCGCTAGAATTAGGTATATATTTTCGTAGAAGTAAATTGAGAATTTTCCAGGATTTATCGAGAAATCGTGTTATCGCTTCGTAATACCGTTACGTAAGGTCACCGTATACGCGTAGCGAGTAACATTGATGATAAGCCTTAAAAAAAATTATTGCCTTCTACACGCGCCTCTTAAATTCTTATGGTCTGCGATGATCATACGAGTTGAAAGTTCAGACGAAAAAAAAAATGGTCTTGTTTCGGATCAGCCACTAATATTATTTCTTATCGTTTCCTTTCAGGTCGGCTCTACAAACTCTGCACAAGGTCTCGAGCAAGGCCCGCGAGCAGAATTACTTCCTGGGCGGATTGTCGCATGATTGGGTCAGTTACTATGAGCAGAGAATCGAAAGCGACCGCTCGTGTCTCAACGAGTGGCACGCCATGGATAATCTGGAGTCACGGCGGCCACCGTCGCCGGATAGCGTACGCACCAAGTGAGTTGAAGCAAAAAATGAATAATTCATTTTGGGTCCAGTCTGAAACGATCGTTCGGAATATTCAAGAAATACGGACCGAAATCGTCGTTACGGTTCTGATTCGCAATCGGTGCACGTGAATATTCGCGAATTTGCTGGATGGTGGAAAAAAAAAATTTTTTTTTTTCTTTTTGAGAAACAGCTGTGTAACCCGTGGGGGGACTTCTCTCGGTTGGTCCATTGCCAGAGTCGGTGGTTTGTTGACGCTTCTGGCTGGCACGTCTCGCGCGCATATAAATAGAGGATAACTTTATAGCTGTCCTTCAATTATTTCCAGTTTTCTGCGTATGTTGCTCCCGCGTGAGAATCCCGTGGATGCTGATGGTACGCGGTATTCCGGGAATTCAGGAAATTCCTTAGCCACACGGAGATAACGCGCTGCTCTTTGGATCTGTTTTGCTTGTTTTTTTTTTTCTCTTCTTTTTGATGTATTTGTAATTTTTTTTTGGGGTCCTTTGTTCCATTCCAGACCCAGAGAGAGAGACGAGACCGAGAAGGTGATTCGCTCGACGCTCAAGGAGATCATGATGTCCGTTGACCTCGACGAGGTCACCTCCAAGTACATTCGAGGAAGGCTCGAGGAAGATCTCGATATGGATTTAGGCGAATTCAAACCGTTCATCGACCAGGAGATGCTGACCATCCTGGGACAGATGGACGCACCGACTGAGATTTTTGATCATGTTTATCTTGGGAGTGAGTGGAATGCCAGTAATCTGGAAGAATTGCAAAAGAATGGGTAAGCCTTTGAAATAATTAATTTCTTATATTTGGTAATTAACGTTTAATCGAGATTCTTATTGATTTATTGATTACCTCTTTTCAGCGTGAGACACATCCTCAATGTCACCAGAGAGATTGACAATTTCTTTCCGGGTATGTTCAATTACCTTAACGTGCGGGTGTACGATGACGAGAAGACGGACCTCCTGAAACACTGGGACGATACGTTTAAGTACATTACAAAGGCCAAGAAGGAGGGATCGAAAGTATTGGTCCATTGTAAGATGGGTGTCTCGAGATCAGCATCGGTCGTTATCGCCTACGCCATGAAGGCATACAACTGGGACTTCTCGCAGGCGTGGAAGCACGTCAAGGAGAAACGGAATTGTATAAAGCCTAATAATAGTTTTCTCCTGCAATTGGAGACCTATCAGGGTATCCTGGACGCCATGAAGAATAAGGAGAAACTTCAGAGATCGAAGTCTGACACTAATTTGAAATCCCCGACCATGGTCAAGGATCAGATCAAGAAGGAGGAGAAGGTAGACAGCGTGGACACTGATCTTCCTCAGGCATCCGGTACGGAGCTCAAGAAGAACGGACAGAGACCCAAGAGTTGGTCTCCGAATATAGAAACTGCAGATAACATGCTGCCATCTGGTGAGTTATTTGAAAACTATCACCTAGATGGCGCTGTACTGTGCTCTTTTTTCTCTTTGCAGTATTAACAAATCCTTAATTTTATTATCCAGCTCCTTTGTCCCAGTCTCTGGAGAGCATCGACAAGGCAGCCAACTCTGAAATCACTCGCGAAGATCTTCTTCGTGGCTGTAATACAAAGACTGGTGGCGATCAGGAAGCCCGTAACGTTCTGATGCCCTGTGATAACGGTCAGTCGTACAGCGTCTCCCAGAATAAAATAGTTCATCTACCTGGACCGGATACTCCAAGCGTTAAACACCGGGTGAGCAAGCTGGAGACTCAAGGACAGAAAAGGAAAGGCCTGGTGCTGAATCTCACCAATCAATTTGAGGCAGCGAATAGTAAACCATCGTCACCGGGTTCGGACTCGGATACTAAACCGCTGCCGGATAGCCCTGTGTCGGAGGTCAATGAAGGCCAAGATTGTTCTCAGATGTTGACTGCGGTTCTACTCGAACAAGAAGTTTGGGATCCTGGTGAGAAAGTTCAGCAACCTGAGGAGATTGAGAGTGCGCAGGATGAGGTGTCTACGACGGTAGAAGAGCAAGGACAGCTCAAGCTTAGTGTTGCTGCCACCGATGGCTCCACTGTTGCTGCTGTTGCTTCTGGTCTCGGAGATGATGATAGTGAATGTCTAGTCTGGACTGCTTCAGCGGAAGCAACATATACTAATACGAATAGTAATATTAATGCAAATAGCGAAGTGAGTGCTGAGAGTGAATGTGTCGCGAATGTCCAGCCGACGACGACAGCAGTGACGACGTTAACGACGTCTGTGTCGACGGGTTCTGCGACAATGACTACATTGAATCCTAGTGCGCTTGGTAGGAAACCGAAAAAGGACGGTGATCCTTTCAGTGCTCAGCTGGATAGAGTCTTCGATCGCGAAGAGAGGCGTGGTGAACCTAGTCGTGATTCACCAAGTCGTCAAAGTTCCTGGAGCAGCTACGACAGCGCGGTAGTACTGGATAACTCGGTTCACAGCTCCTGGGCCACCTTACCTTCTAGAAACAGTTCCTGGGGATCCTACGATATGCGTCCGTCGGATCCACTTGGGTCCAGTGGACTCTTTCCTTATGACAAGGAGGAGATCCCGTGGCATCCGGGTACTGTAAGACGGACGAAACAGAAGCTCGAGGAAGGTGCCACCACTGGTGCTGTCAAGAGGGTCTGCACCCAGACCTCGGATCCCGAGGAAAAGACGGAAAGACTTATTGCCGACGCCGAGAAGGTGTCCGTCGAGGCGTATAACCCAGTTCTGTTTCATTACACTGCCTCGCCTACTCCCAGAAGAAGGGATCCCTCGCCAGCCCCTGAACCAAGTCCTAAGACAGAAGTAGTGAGAGACTCTCCGAGTCCAGCCGATGGCATAGACATTACTACAGTGTCGCTACGACAAATAGCAAGACTCTCTACTAGTGCTCCATCCCCGTCGTCCTTGTCCTCGGACACGGATCTACCCTCGTCCCTAAGAACCTGTAGATCAGAAAGTGAAACCTCAAGTCCCTGTGTGGTGAACACCACACAATGTCCTTCAGTGAAGCACCACAAAATGGTCTTAGAGAATCTAAACAATAAACCCGTGTTTAATAAACGTTGTCTGTCCGTGGACGACTCTCCGGAGTCAGAGTGTCCCCGTAGCAGTTCCGGGATAGTAAAGAACCTTAAGAAGGAGTTCGAGGCGAAATCCACAAAATCGGAAAAAAGTCCTGACAACAGTTACGAGACGGAAGTGTCGCCACCTAGTCGCTCAAGGAAGGACGTAAAGATCCGAAGTCTCCCATCATCCCCTGTGATTGGCCATAACGAGTCAAAGATCCAATCTCCAATCTCAGACAAGGAAAAGGATCACAAGGACTCCAGAAGAACGGATGCACCGGGGCAACAGGAAACTGCCGAGGATCTCTCGGTGCGAGTACTAGTTGGTAAGTACGAGGTTGCTAAACCAGAATCCAGAAAGAACACCGATATCCAACTACGTCATCCAAAAGACAAGGATTCCATAGAAGTACATCCACCGGCAAAATCCAGGATAGCTCCAGAGCTGTCAAGAAGATCGGCACCCATAATGATAAATCACTCATCGTCGTTGTTCAGCGAGACGCCTGAGGCGCCGGGACGGCCGCCAGTGCCATCGCCCAGCGTGGTAGTGGCCAGCGTCGTCGCCAAGGCAGCTAGCAAGAAGCAACAACAACACGGCAGGACTCATCCTCTAGCCAGGCTGCAGGTCAGGCCCAGGCACAGTAGTCCCGTCTACAACACCATGTAACGTAATTCAACATCGGAATGAACTGCCTTCGGCTATGGTGAAATCATCCAAGATTAGGTTAGGTGTTCTCTCCTTATGGTGTCGATCGAAGACACCGTCTCTGGGGTATTAACCCGAATACGCTTAGGCGCGGGTACGCTCTTGTAAAAAGGAAGACGAAGAAGAAGAAAATTGTGTGATCTCTCTTAAAGCGACGACAAAGATAAAAAAAAGTAATATCTCTGTCGGGGTCCTGATGGTTCGTTACAATAGTATAGCCAACAGAGTGAAACTAAGTGAATACGAACCCTCGTAGATTTCGCGAGGTACGCCAAGAGGGATGACTATTACTATTATTTTTTTAATTCATCCAAAACTTTAATTTCTTCTTTCATCCCTCTTGGCCAATCGCATCCATTAGCTATAAACCACCCCGTAAGGGTGTTCCGGGTTGCGGAAAACACCGGATGATGATTCGTCATTTTGAGTAAATGTAATATGTATATGTACGCACGGGAGTAGAAAACGGACACGTATCATTACACAGTCACTCGGACAAATCCCCTGCCATTGCCGTTGATTCGTCTTCTAGCTCGGTACGGCACTTGTAAGATACATTTTTGTGATTAGCCTAATCGTCCTACATGAGATTTCGGGACCGAGTATGCGAATTTGTAATTAATAGTTATTTTTTGAAGTATCAGCAATGCGTAAGATCGAAATTGTGTGCTTCTGTCGTACGCGTTCTCGTGGAAAGGAGAAATTCATTATTATTATTTTACTCTTGTGTTTTCTTTCCCCCATACTTGGGAGACAAGATGGCGTCGCGACGTTGTAGCTAGTAACGGGCTTAACTTTTCGCATCAGTTCCATTAATTGTCTAAGCTAAAAAGAATGCGCGTTTACAAAGCTATGGCCTCGAAACACAATGAGAAATATTAAGAATGAATATTCCTATGTTATCTCGTCATAAACTAAATGTTGGACTTGGAATCCAACGAAAAGGGATAAAAGACAGAATGAACGAAGCGGAGGTTCATCCTGATTTGCACTGTGCGTACGTTTCGTTATTTGTAATAATTTTCTTTGTTCGTATTGTCGATGAAAATAGTGAAATTTCGAATGGAGATAACGATTGTCCTATTGGAAATTAATTTGAAACCACGATCGCCCAGTCAGGCTGTGAACGTAAAGTCTGGGTATCGTGAACTGAAACTATCTTTTTTTTTTCTTTTCTCTTTCTCTTTCTCTCTATGTATACATATACCATTTCCTTAGCGTATTCTTTATCAATTTATATTCGTTCTCGAAATCGCACTGTGTTTAGCAGATAATTAGACTGTAGTGTAGAATAAAGTTAGATGACGGAGATAATTATAAAGATAAATAAAACGCAATGACGGCTTCGGGAGGGGTTGTGCGTTAAACGGAGATCGACGGACCCGAGGATCCCACTAAAGAATAATAGTAATAAGATAAAGAAAAAGAAAGAGAGAGAGAGAGCATTGGATGAACGAGGAAGATAGAACGATTGTTATTATGCGCTACTAATTATTTATATCGAATAATGTGACTGGTTGATAAATTTTGCATGCGATCCGTGTATTTCGAGCGTATAGGATTCTGGGTAATTTATCTGTTTTTGTCTACTTCTCTTTTACGTTCTTCCTACCCTCTCTTTCTCTCTCTCTACCTTCTCTTGTCGCCAGCCGATAGACTTAGAGTGTATCCGTGTGATTCGTTATCAGCATCAGTTCGTATAAAAGATTACTAAGGAAATGAAGTTTTCGAGGAATATCCGGTCGTGCGAAAGCTTTGCAAGTGTTTTCATGTGAACTACGTGAAAAAGGAGGACGATATATATTATATCATTATACCGGTAAAACCTCGTTGCTTCGTTTCTCTTTTTTTTTATTCTTTCACATTAACCGTCATTGTCCTGTTCTCTTTGTACTCCCATTTACTATTAAATGTCGTAGCCTTCGATCGATTTGTTAATCGTACCAGGTCGATTCGTATGTAATAACGTTTGAGAGATGAAGAAGAAAAAAAAATGTGGGTGCTAACGGGCCGATTTTAAGAGCGTCATAAATTAAGGTAATAAAAGAAAGAAGGGTCGACGTGCGTCCTACATACGAGCATGCGCTCTCAGGTCGAGTTTTCAATAATTTTTTTTCTAGTATAAGACATATCATGCGTGTAAGATTTGGATGCTTTCGACTGAGGCATTTTAAAAAAAAAACAATTTTTTTCTCTTGTCTACTGAGATACGTGCTTTGACAAAATTTGGACTAAATTGAGACCCCTGTGAGGACTTTCATTTTTATTTTATAATCGACCATCACGCGACACTGATAAACATTTTGATGCATTGTAGAAGCAATGCGTTATCGTGCCGAAGACCAATTTTATACTAGGGTGACTGACCTGCTTGGCGGAGGTCACCGTAATTCGTTTTTAAAATCACGCGATAATGACTATATCCATATATTTTATTACCACACACATGACTTCTCAACCAAATAGAGGAAAGGTTCATACCTATTAGATATACGTGGAGAGAGTGGGAGAGGAGGTGTGCGACAATACTTTTGTCTCTGAATTTTTTAAATTTCTATTCTTTTCTTCTTTTGTACTATTCGTCTCTCTCTCCCTGTCTCTCTTTCTCTCTTTCTCTCTCTCTCTCTCTGTCCAGCTGATGATATAACAATAACGAAGAATTGATTTCTAAACTGAGATACACAAAGATGATAGGCCATTCGTTGACATTAGAGATTAATGATTTACTTAATTACTCGTTAAGTAAGACTGGATGCGATTTTGATAGGGGAGCTCCATCCTTGACCTCTAACCCCAATCCAAAATTCTACTTACCCCTTGTCAAGCCTGGCCGAGGTTGTTCAAAGAACATGGTGAACTTATATTCTCGTTATCTTGAAGAAATGATACTCTTGTAAAGAATGTGAATTATGATGATGTCATTTTCTGTCCCTTATGTTCATCTTGTGCTGTCATATTGACTGTTGATTTGACAGCACGTGTCAACTCATTTTTCCTGCGTCGGTTATCAACTGATTAGTTATTACAGTGTCTACTAGGAAGTTTGTATTATCACAAATCGATGTGCTTCACTTTTCTTTTTATTTTAGTATTGTCCTTTATACCTTGTCCGTGTATTGTGGTCCTGTATGATCCTTGAACTCTAAGACCTCGGGATGTCTCTTTTCCTCTTCTGTTCGTTGGTGCGGACCCACTCCCCCTATCCCCCACCGTCCTCCCAATTAAAGAAGATATTTCTTTCTTTGCTTAAATGTGCGATTAAACGAGATACGGAGGAGCTACTGTCGTAAAAATGATTAAAATAATAATTATATAAACAAAAAACCGTGCGTTGTTCTGTATAAATTTTGTACCATAGTTTGTATTAAATAAAATACATTGTTTATTGCTTGAGAATATTTTCGAAGATTATTTTGCTGATTAACGCCTTGTCTTGTTATATCTATTAGATGATAAAGAGATTTGACTTTATGGAGTATACATAATTATACTGGAGTAACTGTGTTTATCATGGCATATCAGCTGATATCGATCTCCAGTATCATTTTGCCACAACAGAGTGCAATTTTTGGTAAATTTGGTAATTCCGAGTTTTTGGCTTTTTTCGTACGTTTCACCGAGACTGGACCAATGCTTAGGTCGTAGACGCCTCCTGGTAAGTTCCTGATAGATGCAGCACTCTGTAGGAATTTAAATAAGCCTTAGAACCTTGATTAGAGTATAATAATAATTAATTTACCGTATGGGAACGCAGGTCAACTATACGAATGAGATTCTCATCGGATCCACCGCAAACAACAAATAAATTATTGATGTACTTCCCACAGTACAACATGCTAGTATAAATATCTGGTTCCAGGGAAACTATTTGTCTATTCGATTGATAGTCCCAGAGTTGCATAGAATTTTTCTTTTGCCAGGAACAAGTAAGAATCTGGAACGGTTAAAAACATGTAATTTTGGCATTGTTCTCGTGTTAACATAAATAAGCACTGTTACCTCTTTGCCAGTTTTACTTATATCAATGCCATCACCACACATGTGAACACCTGATATATATCTTGTGGAGTGCGGTTGCCTTGTGTCCCAGAAGTGTACGGTGCTGTCCCAGCCACCACTGACAATCTCGTGAGCAGACTTAGGATTGAAGCATGCAGAAAATACACGTGATGAATGTCCATTCATAACATCAGGTGAATCACTATGTTATTGAAAGAATTACAAATGATTGATAACACAATTGAAGAATTAATGCAATAAGTACCCAGCATGAAATACACGTTCCTGCGTCTTGGTTTCTTCGTCATAGAGATAGAGATTGGTGTCATCACCGACAGTAACAAACTTTGGTAGCTGAGGATGATACGACAGACCCAGTGTCTGTCTTTTCTCTCGTATTGTGTATAAGCATTGTCCTGTAGGATAATGCCAGCATTTGACATGTCCTGTAGCATCTGAAGAAAAATGTATCACTCTGTACTTTAGTTTATACATTCTTCATACATATTATAGTTACTAACAAGTGGCTGTAAGAGTCTGCGATATGGGATGTGACCTATGAACTGGTCGATGCTTAATACTAGTAGTTGGTCCAGGATTCTGCTGCATTTCAGTATCACGAAGTGTTCCAATATACTCACCAGAGTTGACTTTCATAAGTCTGACAGTGCCATCCGAGATGCCTGCAGCTAGAATCTCGCATTGCTCTGTATAACTTAGACATAGGATCTCCTGTGTTCCTTCCCTGATCAGGGTAATATCTATGGCTGTTTACTGGTCGTAAAATAAGAGAAATACGATTGACCAACATTTGACTAATAATTCTAACGTCTCCATCAATTAAAAGTCCTCGATGAATCTCCGCAAGGCGTTCTGGCTCCAAAGCAGTTCCAGCAATTCTCGCATGTACAAATGACTTGGTGAGATCGTAGCTCACTCTCGGTGTTCTAGGCGATGACGCAGGTGGTAAAAATTTAGTCTCGGAATCCTCTATACCCCGTAATCCTATGGTGGCTGGCATATGCTCTTTGGTTACTGTTGCCTTTTCTTGCTCCATGTTTATCGACTGAGATTACCTAAAGAATAGGTAGGTAATGTTTCTTTTAGTATTAATTATAAACAGGATCTATGGAGAAACTTTATCGTATTATTTCTAATTATATCTTGCCTGAAAGAATTATTAGTTTTAATTACAATAAAAAAACGTGCTGAGTTCTTTAAACTTTAAAGTTTTTCTTTTAACAATTTTTATGTACGAGTGTACGACTCATTTTTGCGATTGGAGGGATTATACATTGCAGCGATTGGCAGAGAGTTTTATTTTTTTAATTATATAAAGTAAGTTTGACATCTTTAAAGCGGAATTTTGTGACTCAATGGAATTTTATGAACTTGGTCGTAGTTATGAAAACAGGAGAGATCATCTATAGATGAGTAGGGAGATGTATAACGTTACGGTTTTCGGCGATACCAAAATCATGGCACTAAAATGTAGCGGCGAGTCTGGAAGTAGAATTCTGTGATCATCGCCTCCGTCGACAAAGCGAATCCCGTCGTAGCCGAGCTAAACGGAAACACGAACGCGTATCTTGGCGGGCAGAGGTTCTCCGCCACTCAACGCTGGTTCCCAAAGCAACCTTTAGAACGAGACCGTGAACTATAGAATTTCTCAAGAACTATTGAAAAAGCCTATTGTTGAAAAATTATTAACACACTTTTAAGAAAGTGCAGTGCCAACTTGACACCCGTGTAGCATCTAAATTTTTACTAAATATTATTGGATCTTGATTTACTTCAAAATTTACTTAAAATATAAAATTGAGGCTAAATCAAAATCGCGCAGAATATACAGAGTAGATAAAAATTGAATTAAAGTTGTACTAAAGTGTTGTAAAATATTAACACTTAGAGATCGGAAATTCTGGCCAAGCATATTTAGAAATACTGGAAGTTGCCCAAAATTGTGTGCGCGCAAATTCGTCGCGCAGGACTCGGCGAGTACAAGCAGGCGGATGGTGGGGGCAGCGCTCGAGGCAGTGCCCGGACTCGAAGCGCTCATTCCTCTTCGAGCCGGTCTCCTATACTGGTCTCTTGGAAGCACTCCTCATATCCATCTCCAATCATCTATTTCTATATTCATTTCTTCTTTACTTATTTCTTTATATTTCATTCTTTACTTACTGATTTATTTATTTCCTTATTTCTTCTCTACTTTTATACCCTTGTCCCTTACTTTTCTACTTGTCAACTTCTTTATTTCTATCTTCCCTTCTGTCTTCTCGTTTCACTCTGTTCCCTCTCACTTTCTATTGTGCTTCTCTTGCCTGTTCTATTCCTTTGGTCGGGTCGAGCATATTAATTCGAGTAGTCATATAAGGGTAGTCACCCTGTTAGTGCAGCTAGACTTAAGACCATGGTGTCGGGGGTTGCCCTTCCGCCTCATCCGCTGAGCTTGCTCAGTGGTTGGTGGCCCAAGTTGTGGCCGCAACAGGACCTTATGGGTCTCCCGACGGGGGCCCTTGAGCCCCCTTAGGGTATCTACGGCAATGGTCTTTCGTATAGTGAATCTAACCAGGTGTCTAGCTCTCGCGTATTTTTCCGCCTAGTATATCCTTAAAAACTAAGTTGTTAAAAAGTCCTTTGGAAAAATAAAAATCCAAAGTGGTAGCGCATGTAACAACATACCACACGTATATTATATTGCAGTGATATATGTAATATATCTCT